TTGGGAAATAAAAAAACAAATGAGAGAACCGACAATACTGAATTGGAAATACATGTAAACATGAAGTAAAACAAGCGAAGAGACATACAGGTAATGGAAATTAAAATTGAAAATGTTTAATAATATACCTGACTTTTTCGCGAGCAGATTTAAAACTCTCAGCAACAAARTAAATTGGCTGATAGCTCGTGATTGGGTAGGACTGGACGCTAGTCTTCTCAGGGTCCAGAGGCTTTTTTTCTGGTTTGTCAGTCAAACAGTACTGAAGAGAAAAACGCTCAGTAAGTAGGCAATAAGCGAACACAATTAATTTTCAAAATATTTACTTGTAGTTCGCCAAATGAAGAAAGCAAACCAGCTCCATAAGCCTTGATTTGGCCATCTTGCTTGCAAAGACCAAACTCAATTGTGAACCAGTAAAGCTAATAAAATTAAAACTGCGTTTAAAAACTTTTAAAACTTATGGCTTTGACTTGAAGAATCAGAAAATGCCATGAACTATGAGTGCAAAACAATGGTAAAGGTGGTGCCGTCGGATGGAGCAAGACAGTACATGTAGGTCTGGGGGAAGGCCGCCTCTCCTCCACTTAATCCTAACAATATCATTCTGCTGTAGAAATAACTAATTCTAACTGTAGTTCACTTACTGTTGCAAGCTTTTCAACCCAATCATCAGGTGCTCCAAGGGAAGCAAGGCCTATTTCCTGCATCAAAAAAAGGTTGTACAGTATGAAAATATGCAYTGGATGACAGTAATAGTACTGGGATATTGACGTGCAACGCGGAGGAAAATAGATAAACGAACTCAGACATAATAAGGATAACTAATTGTACATGACTTCACACAGTACCTGAGAAAACTGTGCGAAATCTGGATCAGCAAAAAGAGGAACATGTCCTATCAACTCATGGACAATATCACTGTAAAATGAATTAAAAAAAGGTAAACGAACTTTTATGTATTAGATTCAAAACCTTCAGTTCTTTTGCGCCTTAGTTGTGATGTATCATAATAACGATGGTTTTTCAATTCAGTCACTTTTAAACCACTTAAYGCTCAATCATTCATTAATCCCATTTATCCATCCATTTATTCAACCCGTTCATTTAATTGTTTATCTCATTCMATTATTCATCCTTTAAACTTACGGTTCAGGGGTGTACATTGGTTTGGACCCATGTCGAATGTATTGTGTGCTGTGGAAAACACGGAAGGCCAGTCCTGCCAGGAAATCACGTGATGAAAGAAGTCCTGCTACAGGGCGCAACGTGAATCCTGTGCATTCTATTGTGACCAGAAAAAGTCAGTTAACACATGAATGGAATAACACATTATTAACTATTATCACAACTACATGTATTTAATCAATCAATACTGAAGCGCATTACATTTTGTAAC